TAGGCAAGTCGTAAGTCCAACTGCGTCGAGTCGGCAGTGCAACCCCGTGCAGTCAGCGGTACCGGTCCCAGTCACACTCAGTCCAGTCAAGCAAGTACCGTGTGGGACTGTGTGCACCAAGGGGCCTGGTGAAAAGGGGCAGACCAGCGGCCAACAGAAGTATAAATCAAGAGGCAGCGTCCAGCAATTCATTCATTCTGTTGCGAACCAAGCGGAGGTGCTGCCAGTGCGCCTTGTGCGAGGTGGTCTGCAGATGCCCGAAGCTGAAGTGGGCTGTGAGAGAGATAGAGCAGCCATAGCTGCTAGTAGTTCTAGGGTTAGCGAGCAGCCATAGCTGCGTCAGGGTAGAGTAGTCTTCAGGGTGTGTTTATATGAGTGAGCAGTGAGAGTGACTGTGCGTGGGATATCCAGGGAGATCCAGTGAAGTGTGCGTGTGGACAAGTTGAGAGGATACAGTGTTGCGAGGGGTGATGTAAGGGCGCACTGGCGCCATAGTTGCTTGAAGCGAGCTTGTATCTGAACTGTGTTCTCATCTATAATATCTCTGAGCTCTTGTGGGCGCCTGGCGCCAGAGTGATTTGCCATCTGTTTGCATGCATGCGAAGTAAGAAGAAAGTGAGTCTGATTGCACAGTGACCTTCTTGATGCGCGATGTATGCTTGTAAGGGGCCATCCTCCCAATGTCCTGGTTAGAGGTTGGACTGCATATGTATGAGGCCGACAACATTGGCTACCCACTCATGTCACCCGGGTTTCTATCTGGTTTCGCCGCATGGTGCCCTGGTCGATTGCTCACCAACAGGCAGAAGCATCCCTCCACACAGCTGCACGCAATGGGGCCCCACGCACTCCCGGACACCACTTCTGAATACAGGCAGCATCAACCATCCACACAGCTAAATGCAGCCGGCCCGCTCTCTCCTCTCATTCCTACCGAATAGAAGATGCTAATGTGCATACTGCAACTCAGCTGGAAACCAGGGCAACCGCAACACATAATGTAAACATTGTCAAAGTAGTTGCAAGGGATGATGGTCTGCATCCTACCTATGAGGCTGCTGCTGAAAATGTGCCTCCCCCTCCACCACCACCACCACCGCCAGCTCCCCCACCTACATCATCCCCTCCATCAACTGCCTCCTCTTCTTCCTCCTCCTCCTCCTCCTCCTCTTCTTCCTCCTCCTCCTCCTCCTCTTCTTCCTCCTCCTCCTCGTCTTCTTCCTCCTCCTCCTTATCCCCCTCGCATGCCTCTCCTACATCATCGTCCTCATCATTAACGCATTCATGGTCAGATCAGTCGTCACAGAGACCTCAATGGAGGCCGTCACAGAGGCCTCTTCGGCGGAGGCGTTCCCCATCTCCACAAACACCTCCTAGACAGCGGCCGCGTTTGTACTTGAACAGCATAATCATTATGCCCCTGCAGGGGCCAGAGATCTACTCCGTCGATATGCTTGCAACCATACAGAACCACAACATCGCCCCCAATACACACTAGCCAGGAATAGTACATACTACTGAGTATGATGTACACGATGCGGCGATGATGTTTACAGTGCTGCAGGCCTGCATGTTCACGAGACACGAGGTGCAACCACCTATGTAGCACTTGCTCGACAAGCAACCACTCTAGTGTAGCTGATCAACTTCTACCTTTTGCATTTAACCCACCCACTTGTCATCCACCTAGCCCCAATTGCCTCTCCCTCCAACTGACAATGATCGGCCTTCTGATCGCTTGAGGGGGGCGCCGACCGGAGATGATCTCTCTCCGGAAAGCATGCTAGAGCCAATGAAGTTAACACAGTCGGAGGAACCTGACAAAAACAGTCTAGACTGGAATGAACCTTCCCCTAGCATGCAATCTGCAGAATTAAATGAACCTCCCTTTGCCGCACAGTCTGCAAAATCAAAGGATCTTGTAGTGCTGCAGCAAGGTCATTGTGCATATAATACCATTATTGTATGTCTCCTCACTTACAATTGCAACGCCTATACTGTTTCTGATTTTGCAAACATTGTCTGCTGGACAGAAGAAGAGCACTGAACTGTCCGCCTAGAGGATGACAGTACGACGCCTGGTGTGAACATAAAAGTCATGTCTATGGCATTTATGGGAAGACGAGTGCAACTCCAGCTTGCTCCACAGAATCACATGCTAGACATGGACCCAAATATTGGTGCGTACATCATGCATCGCCCAGGCATTTCAGTGCGGTTACCTTTGCAGATAATTCATGGACCCTATGGGACAATGGCGGCAGGGTGCACACGGTAGGAAATATTAATAACTCTTTCTATCACCGGCCGGTAGGATCCCATTCAGTCTGGCTGGTCAGTCAGGAACAGTGCGTGGATGTGTACTCGCAAGCTCTACAGCTCTGGAGAGCAATCCAGCTGAACCTTCCCCCTCCCCTGTACATGACCAGCCAGCGTCCCTTCCCTGTGCAGACCGGATAGATTCTACCACGGATAGCGAAGGGGCCTCTCCAGAGGACGGTGGTTGTGCCATGCCATTCAAGTTGTGTCTCCACACATCTACAATCCGGTTAGCATGCACACGAGCATAGTTTCTCCTTCGAACACTACGAAGGGAAGGTCACTGCCAGCCTTTGCTGTGAAAAAATGCGACCCATTGTCTCGCACTCATCCCCCCACCCCCTAATTACTTGCCCAGCATGCTGCTGTGGCCTTGGCGTACCATGCTTAAATGGCTGCGAACATCAGCCTGCTTTCCTGCTGGCATGTCAGCAACATGCCATGTGTCGTCAATGTTTCCCGGGGGGAAGCTGTCATAGAAAGGCGGCCTGATTGAGTACTCGCTGTCTGACCAACCCGGGCTGGTGCTCAGCGGGAGAAAAAGTGTATAGGACGGTGACGCTTGGCGACCGAAGTGCCCATCCGATAGGGCTCGTTCGATAGTGCTTCAACTAGGGCTGGGAGATGTTGTCCTGGCCTAGTGCTGGTGCCTGCGACTGCTGTCTAGTATATCCGAGGTAGGGCCAACAAGTGCCCCCGTAGATGGGGAATCAACACTGAAGACAAAGAACAAAGAGGTAGGTTGGGGTGGGTCCATCTACTGCGTGGACTATGTTTTCCTAGCATGTCCGCTGATGTAGCGTTGGGCATACACCTGCGGCAACCGCAGTCAGATCTCTTTCATCCTTGCCAGACGAACAATAGACGCAGCAGCCTGCGGAGGAAAATAGACTATCACATGAGTCACCTAAAGAGCGCTATACTGAAAGGTTATCACTGGCAGGACGACCTGTTGCAGACCAAACCTTGCAACAGCTAAACACCCTTACTCTGGATCATCCCTCGTTGCCGCCTCCCTGTAGGGAAGGAAATATGGCTGTGAAAAGTTTCCGAAACCCAAGAAACTTGCTCAATGCCACTCTGTGAAGGTCCACCTGAGATTTGGCTGGCATATGATTCACATCCTTTGTGTTATCAGGATTATGACGGCATAGCCCATGCAAGCATTTTTTTTTTATACGTATGATGACAGTCAACATTGCACTCACGTACGGCACCCCGACATGTCATGTCCAATCTTTAGACAGAGCCTGGAACAGCAACACCTATACAATTGCGGTCGGCGTGCCCCTATGCTCCTACCATGTAGGAGCCACGTAGCCTGTGACATCTGTCTACGCCGTGGCCTTCGATGCAGCAACTGCAACTGCGGGAATTGGATGTGGTGCTTCCACAGCCCACACCCAGACCGGTCATGTCTGGTCTACAGGGGTGGCCCCCACTTACCATAGGCAGCGGCAGCGGCAGCGGCAGCTCCTCAACTCAAGATCTCCTCCAACCCAAACACTGACTGGCCTCTTGCGCAACTCAAGACTATTCTAGAATAGTCTGTGCTAAAGGTGAGTTGACTGTCGAGAACTCTCTGAAGTTTGTCTTTCCTCTGTTCCGTTCTTTGCCCTTCCAGTTCCCTCCTCTTCCCCCGTCTCCCTCCCCCACCCCTCACTTCCTATAGAACTCCATGCCGTACGCCTTTCCTTCCTCCCTCCGCTTGTGTACCACTAGTAAATGCATATGAATGGCCATCATTAAGAGAAAAGACAAAATATAAGCTGATGATCTGAAGAAAAGTGAACAGGGTTATACCTCCCCCTTTACTCTGCCTCCTAACGTGCACATGGGCCATTAAACCACAATCAATGTGTCCAGCCTTGAACGCGAGAGGCACAGTAAAAAGGGAGCTGCACGAACAAATAGAAGGGGTACCCCAAAGAAAGCCGAAGTAAAGATAGTCAAGGAAGGGATATGACGGATATAGTCCGCTCCATGTTGCTTGCTATAGAGGTAAAGCTGTTTCATTGTCGCAATGGATCATCTCAAGTGTGGTTCATTGTCTGCAATAGAGGTAAAGCTGCATCGAATCTGGATCTATTCAGCTGGGTGGAACAGGGCCTGTTGTGGTGAAAATCTACAACACACATCCATCCATACACACATACACATACATACATACATACATACATACATACATACATACATACATGCATGCATGCATATGCTCAAGAATGGATCTGGGGCAGAAACCCGGTTGTGGATAATTAGACCAAGATGTGCAGAATAAAATAAAACAGAGTAGAGACCTGCGGACCAGAGTACAAACCAGGATGTAAATGATTAGAGCAGGATCACTAGTAGGGCCACAACAAAAGCGCCAAGAAGAATGTACTTGACCCCTGTTATGATGAGCACGAGGAAGGCAACAAGCACTTGCCACAAGATGTTAAGCACAACGAAGACGAGAACTGCTGTGAGTGCTAATGACAGCAGATTCTCAGGAGAGGACGTATCTACGAGTTCTTCCCAGCCCTGTGGTGGCTGTTGAAGCCCACCACCATTCTCACCCTTCTTTCCCACCCTATCATACTGCGTACCCTCGTGCTCGATCTCCTGCACCTCACCAACTTCATCATCCTGCCAAAGTGGAACACCCATCTCGTCCTCTACACTCGCACCATCGATGAATAAGGACTGGTTCCCAATGGCAGTCACTTGAGGTACCTTAACATCTTGATTCCGCCAAAAACGACAGGCAAACAAATAACTCTTCTTTACTTGTCTCACATATCTCCTCCTTTCTTCTCTCACGGTCCCCTCCATGCCTCCTCCTCCTCCTCCTCCTCCTCCTCCTTTTCTCTCTATCCTTGCACCATTTCCTCTTACCCCTACCATAACTGCCCCTCCATTGTAAGATGCAGGCAATGCCTGTCTTGCAATCAATCGACTCTTTGCGTGGCCAAAATCTAAAACAACATTCCACATGACTTCCTTCTGCAGCATTTGCCTGTCCCTCATGCTTTGTTCTCTGCTCAAATCACCCACAGCACGTCCTCCTCCTCCTCCTCCTCCTCCCTTCCCCCCTACCCTTCTCCCATTTCCTCTTACCCCTACCATAACTGCCACTCCATTGTGAGGAGCAGAGAACGCCTGTCTTGCAATCAATCGACTCTTCGCACCGCAGAAATCCGGAACAACATTCCACAGCACTTCCTTCAGCAGCATTTGCCTGTCCCTCCTGCTTCCTTCTCTGCTCAACCCCCCCATACCTCCTCCTCCTCCTCCTCCTCCTCCTCCTCGTCCTCGTCCTCCTCGTCCTCCTCTTCCTCTTCCTCTTCCTCCTCTTCTTCTTCTCTCTCCTGCTGCTTCTATCTCGAATGTTCCTCCTTGATCGTAAGGGCAAAGAATCTTCTTCTTTGCAAGCCGTCTATATTTCCGACAACTGAGATCCGAAACATCGCACAATGATTCCTGCAACGTTTGCCCTGATCTGTTCTTCGACCACAACCTGTCCTCCCTCGAAAGGCGACCAGACCTGCTGCCAAGGGGTCGTGGTCGCCCAGTCAAGGCCCGTTCGAGCGTTGACTGTTCTTCGCCTACTACTCTTTCGATGGCTAGTCGTCTCAGACTGATTACTGATCGTACGGCTGCAGATCGTCCAATTGCAGACAGTTTGATTGCTAATGGTTTGCTTCTAGGAGATGAGGGGCATCGTGCATCGGGCCAGGAGCTTGTACAGAGGCCTGTACACAGCGAGGAGTTTGTCTCTAGGAGCTTGCACGGTGTCTTCTTCTTCTTCTTCTCCTTCTCCTCCTCCTCCTCCTCTGTAGAGGCTGCTAGAGAGCACAACCTACGAGAATTTTGCCTTAACCTTTGGACATTACCCTTGTCTTTGCTGCCAAGCCCATGTCCGTGACCCGTCACCCTAAGGCAGAGATGGCTTCCCTGCGATGATATGTCCCTATGCTGTGTTCGGCTTCCACTGCCTACCCCTACACTATCACAGAGGAGTGGCCGTTGTCGAAAACCATGTGATGTCCTTTCTTGATAGCTGTGGAAATGGTGCGGACTTACGGCCGGACGCAGCAGGTTACAGACTCCAAGCACCTGGTCCATTCCACGGATCAGATCCATTCCACTATCAGCAATGCCAACTGCAGCACTCATCGGCATGATGGTCTAGGGCATCACTGCTTGGCCCTGCAAAAAAAAATCAGGGCTGCCCTATTCCCCCAAACACAACGCACCGTTATCTGACTGTATAGGACGGAAAGCTAGCTTGTACACATTCATAATAAGGGTGTGTTGTGTTCGAGGGAAGATGGTAGGATGTCACAAATCCAGCGAATCATCACCCCCATAACACAACTCCCGACCCCTATCTATCTATGATAAGTATTGGAGTTCTTGGATTTATTGTGTGGGCTCAAGATGGGTCCCTCTCCATGGCAACATGAGAACATGAGAGTTCAATCACTTGGCTATATGCTGGAAACGCCTTAGATTAGTTGGGGGTTCCAAATTCATTGGCCAATCAATCAGCAGGCTCGCCAGCAGTTTGATCGAAGAGGAGGATCAGAGACTACTCGCACTAACACCACCCCTGGTTCACGACTGGCCGACTCCAATCACTGCACAGCAATTCAACTACCAGGTAGCGCATCCCCACTAGCCGACACCTTACTTCTCTGGGCCTCCAAACCTCGCTCAGTGTCAATCAAGTTCACACCGTTGAATGGAGAGCTGCACAAGTCCTCTCTCTCTCTCTCTCTCTCTCTCTCTCTCTCTCTCTCTCTCTCTCTCTCTCTCTCTCTCTCTC